ACTTGACAGAGAAGTTATATTAAATACATTGAAATATTTCATAGAACTAGCTACTAGACTGTAAAGTGACTTCATTTTGTTTGGAGTTTGTCTGGAGCAGGAAGTGTATACAAAGTGTAAACAGGTAAATTCACACAAAAATAATTTTCATAAATGCATTTGAAAGTGTGCACACACACTTTTTATTCAGTGCCAACTTGTTTTATGGGCGCACGATTGAGAACGGCTCGACAAGGACTCGTAAATATTTTGTGAACATTGTAACAAAAGCAATTCACTTACCAAATATGTAAATGAGTTGGTTACATTGTTGGCTTTCGTTTAGCAGTTCATAGTTGAGACTGTGCAGCGCTCATTACGGATACGAACCAGTCCTCCAATTGAAAAGTTTTGCGCATGTTTGCAGGCGGAGCAATCCCATCAGGAAAGTTAGCTACACGTTCCAGGTTTCGGCAAAAATGCTCACACTTGGAAAGTGCGCGTTTTTAATTTGCAACTGATTCAAGCAGAAACTTGGCGACTGTGCGTGCATAAAAAGTGTAAACGTAAAACAGATTGACCCATTTGAAAATAGTCAATTTATTTAATTTGGAAGAAGAAGCTGTATTAAATTCTATATATATATCACAAGTAACATGATTTTCATCAAGTGGCTGCTTTGTGCCACTGCAAAAATGAAATCTGAATCAAAGTTTTGAGTGTGCGGAGATAATAAATTAATAGTCATTTCTGTGGCAATTATAAGCAAACATTTTGCAATTAATTAAACGGAATAATTGCTAAGAGATTGCAGAGAGGATATATTAATTTGTCCGCCTGTTAAGTGCCATTGGCAATAAATTTATTTTTATTCCATTGTTATTATTACTTACTATAATTAAAAAAAAAAACTACGCTTGCCTTTTGAGTGTGTGTGTGTGTGTGCGTGTGTCGGGGATTGTTTGCCGTGCGGCTAATTTGCCAGAGTTGCAGTTGACTGACAATTGACTGTCAGCTGTCAACTGTTTGATTTGTTATGCAACAATAGGTTAAACATTAACAGCAACAAGAGCAACAACGAAATTGGCAAACGTTTTGGCATTAATCAATGGCAATAGCAAAGTGTCAAAAAGTCACATTGTAAATGCCCCTTGTTATCCTTGTAGGTGAAAAGCTTAACAAATGACACTCACTCACACCCAGTCGCACACACACGCACACTCTCATGAATGCAATACAAATGATTGATTATGCGGGATATTGACTGTTTGTTGTCCACCTCCCCCTTGGCACCAATTCCATCTCCAATTCCATCTCCATCTTCATCGCTATTCAACATTTTATTTTCATCATTGAACACTGAAATTTTAATGAGATTTTGATGCGAAAGGCACGTTAAGCTGCATTCCACATTATTTATGTTAAATGCGTTGCATATTTAAATGCCCCACTGCAGGCCATTTGTTTAAGAGATGGCAAAAAGCAAGCAGCTCATCAACTTGATCAACCAGGATTCGTCAATCGTATCCTTGACTACTTTGCAAGTCAAATGTATTTATTAAATTTGCTGCTTTATATACAACGAAGTCACAGGATATAACGAGATTAATCTGTAGTTTCTCTTAAAGCTCTGTAGTTTCACTATGCCAAAGCATTCGAATTATCAATGGATAGTGGTATTATACGCTTTGAAAATGTATATTAATAAAGGGTATAATGTAAAAATGGGCATATATATATTAGAAAAAAGGGGAACTTCTTGGTATGTTTCAAGGTTGGAGGGATAATACAAAAATTATATTTTATATACTTACTATATGCTCAAATAAGCAAAGTTTAAGCTTGCAGCCCTTCAATAGATTCTCCTTTCTTCTTAAATTTCAAATAGGTTAAAGCTAATATTTGTGCCTTGTGTGTAACATATATACTGAACAAAAGAGGATCAAGAAACTGTGGTCTCAGCTGAGTGTGTCCGAATGAGCGATACCCTGTACACTAACTATACCAGACTATATATTCGCACTTATAAAGCATATATTCACATTGCTTAAAAAGCGGTGCCGTGTAGCATGGATATTTTCTACTTTGGGCACAAATCTGCTTTAAGCATAATTTAAAAAGTCATCTCCATTTCGTGCTACTTTAATTCAACTGCTTTTTCTTGCGTCATACTAATTGAATTAGGGAATTTACGATAAAGAATTTTGTAGGAATTCGTTTAGTGAGTTGTACATCCATTATTCTTTTCATGACTTCATCCAGTTTCAATGTCTCGCAGTTGCTGAATTTAACAGAAAGTATTTAAATTACGACCCAAGCACAACCGTTAGTCAGGATTTAAATATACTACTATATATACGTACATACGTATATAAATTTCTTGTCATTTGAACTCGCATCCTGCAAAGTTTGTCAGCGTGCGCGGCTGGGCGGGGTTAATTGTCCTGCTCTGTGGATATGGAATTGAATTTTGTTACGGATTTGCATTTTGTGTGCACCGCAATAATATTTAAACTTTTACGTTGGCCAATCTATAATTGTCCGTGTTTGCGTTTGTGTGTGTGTGTGTGTGTGTGTGTGTGTGTGTGTGTGTGTGCAGATTTATGTGACTTTCAATTGTTCATGCAGGGGAGACAAAAAAAAGTTAAGGCAAAAGCATGGTTGAGCCAATTATTTGAAATTTGCTCGTTGAACTGACGGTTGTTCGGTCATTTCGGTTCCTCAATTATGCAAATGCTTCCAAAATAAAGCAATTCCATTAAAACATAAATTATTGCGAGCATTTTAAAAGAATGGAATGCCTCAGCATGGGATTGCAAACCGCACCAAATGCATTTCACACTCCAAACGAAAAATACAAAAAAAAATAACAGTTATCCGAGCTAAGCCGAATAATGAATACCCTCGAAACTGGAAGCAGGATTTCTAAAGGAGCTAAGTGATTGAATGATGCCATTCAGCTGACTAAGACTTTTGCAAAAGTTAATCACAGAACATGATTCACTAATGAATACTTTAAGTTTTGTATTAATATAATTGAACAATAATTAAATGTATTTGTTTCATAAATTAATATATGTTTTAATTAGTTCTTGAAATAAGGCCTCATTGAGATATAATGAATATTTGAATACATGATGCCCCAAACTAAATGAAATTTTCGAAACTTGGTAAGTTATGCCTCATATTAGCTGCCATTGACTTAACAATAAATACTGACTGCTTTAAAAAATTATGTATTCAATTTGTTGCATTTGAACCTTCTCGAAACCAAAGATTTATCCTCTTGGTAAACTTATCCCCATGTCAGCTGCCATGTACTTGACAACAATTGCTTTACAGATTTGTGCATTATATTTGTCATCGAACCTTTCAACAAAAGTTGAATCTCTTGGTAATGCTACGAGATTAAAAATAAATACTGACTGCCTTGTAGAATTGTGCGTTATATTTGTCATCGAACCTCCACTTAAATTGTGTCCTCTTGGTAAATTTATCCTCATGTCAGCTAACAAAAAATAATGACTGCTTTACAGATTTCAAAACGGCTAATGCCAATATACTAGATTGTATATGGTAGCTGCAAGTGCGGGCAGCACAATGCCAAAAATTAGCCAATGCTTGGTTGATGGCAGCCGGGCGCCATAGTGGGGCACATTGTGATTGCGATTGCAATGGCGGTTGCCTGACGTTGTTTACAATTTGCACTTTGCATTTTGGCTTTTGATTTTCGCTGTGGCAAATCGAAACTGTGCTAACATTTGCATATTTTGTAGATTGGCTTCAATAATCAGCGAGATGCGAGTTGCAAGTTGAAAGTTTTGAGTTTGGAATTGTGATTTGCCGGCATCGAGGTCCAAATGTCAAGTGCAACAGTTGAGACAGTTGCGACTTTTGGCTGCCGCCAAATGGAATTAAGCTGAGTGCTTTGGACTTGTGCGCCATGGACCGTGGGCCGTGGTGCGTGGGAAGGCCATACTGATGCGTATGTTGATGCAATGCGGCCGTAGCTACAACTTGTGGGCTCGTCTATATTTACTTTAATGGCATGTCAAACAACTGACACAGCAAAGAGACACACACACACACACAGACAAAGCAGCATAAAGTTGGGACACTATTTTGGCATGTCAAGTCGCGTTCCCGAAATATGCAAAATATGAAGATTGCAAGTGCAGGCAATTAAATTAACATGGTTTGTATGCAATGTTATGTGCAAGCTTGACGAGCGCTTGCGGGTGAATGGCGGGTTGGCTTACAATATAGTTCTGCGGATGCCATTACATGGCTCTGACCCTTCACTGGCAATAGCTTCGTCTGCAGAGTCAGCTAACGCAGATCGTTGCCAAAATTAGTTACTCTATTTGCAGTCATTTCCACCTACGTCCAAGTGCACGGTCCTTTTGCAACCTTTTGCAACCTTTTGCCAACCACTTTACCCCCACTTTCCTCTGTCGTTGTCGTGCGCATTCCATTACAAACTTTTTGTTTGGGTTTCTGCGTGTGTCGAATGTCAAACAATTTCATGAGCGACAAATTTTTGAATAACCTTTGAACAAAAGTTTGTTACGTGATTTTCGCTACACACACATTTCTGAATGGACGTGTGTGCGTGCATTTATATACACGCAAGCAAGAATGTGCTAATATGCAGGTTGACGGGTATCTATAAGTTGGTAGAAGTTATACAAATGCAAAGCACCTTTCCTTAGAGTCCCTTCCCCTTTCTTTTATTTATTTTTATTTTTTAATGGATTGACCCATCAGCTGTCGGATAGGTCACTATTTCTGCATCAAAGGGGACATATTTTTAATAAGTTATATAATGTAGCTGTTTGAACTTTGGGGGTGCGATATTTGAGTTAGATTGTATTTAGAATATGCACCTTTATCTTAGGTTTTAAAAATACAAAGCTATAAATAATTTCAACATCTTTGTTCGACCTGTTCATATATGTAAAATATTCATTGATTGATGTTTCTATTGATATATAAATATATATTTGTAATAACTTACTTACCTGTTAATTCACGCGCACGATTATCTAATCTGAATCTATCAGTAGGCAGGAAACGAACTTTAATATAAACACATTCCTGAAAAACTATAAAAGTAGATATAAGGTTTAATAGTTTAGAAATGCATCTAAGCCTTGAGTAAGTGAGTATTGTGTATCAGAGCAATATTTATAAATATGGTTTTTGTTCATTTTGGGCTTGGCTCAACATACACTGATGTTTAAATATATGCATTAATTGAAAAACATACAAGCCAACATGCATACATATACGATATATATTATGTTATGCTTTTAATACGTACCAATTTTTTTAATTGCCACATTTGAAATTCATGCCACTGCCTTCACTAAGGCCATGGCCACTGCTTCCTCAATAGTTGAATACACCTCCTCTTCATCGTTTAAGACTGACAATTTGCCGTCTCCTCTTTAGTTGAAGCCACCAATTCCTCCAATGTCCAATCTGCCACTAATTTAAAGACTCCGTGTCCATTAGGCCGCCTGCTTCTTTGCGCAAGCCGCAGTTACCTTCAATGTTAAGACCGATGCCACCTCCTTCGCTCAAGCTGCCATCTCCTCCATAGTTGAAGCCGTCGCCTCCACTGTTCAAGCCACCGTCTCCTCTTTAGTTAAAGGCGCCGACGCCTTCTTAGCTGAAGCCTTGAAGTGAATCTATGGGGTTTACTTGCATTTATGAGAATCGAGTAGAAGGGGATTAGTTAGGAATATGTCATTTTTTTTTAATTTTGCATTTAAGTAAACAAAATATATGTATACATATATTTACATATATAAACATATTTACATAATATATACATATTTACATGCATATACACATGCATACATGCGAACATACATACATTTTTATATACCTACATACATTTATACGAACATACATAAATATTTATCAAAACTACATATACACATGCACGTATATATGTATATGCATTAACATATATACAAACATATCTATGCATTGGCACAACTAATATTAATATTAATATATGCAGATATCAATACATACATATATACATATAAACACATACGTTTACACATACATACAAGTGTTCATACATACATACATGCATGCATACATGCATATATACATACCTTCATACATACATTCAAACATACATGCTTACATATGTTCATATGCACACAAATACATACAATCAAGCATATAAATAAATCATGAATATTTGTCATTTTTTTCCTGATTTTTTTACTTAATTTGAATACTCAGCCAATATTTATAATAAATTGATGTAGAAATTAAAATAAATTTGAACAAATAATAGCAGGTTAAGAAATCGAACTCTCAGGCGAGGCATTCGATTGAACCCTATGCGCTTAGAATCCTCATAAAATATTGCTTCCCAGTTAATTATTAATTTTGAAACTCGAAAAAATCACGCCCCTCAAATTGAAAACATTTAAAAAACTGCGTGTTTTTAGTTTAATCCTTGGGATTGTCCCATGTTTCCAGCTGAAAAATGAAAACCGCAGCTGTGCAATTGCTGGGTCAAAAAAAAAAATTAAATAAATATGCAAACTGTGGACCCAAAAGGTTGCCCAATGCTAATGCCAAATGTTAATGAGATGCGCAGCAACAACAGCAGCAGTGGGCGTGGCTAAAGGCCAAAGTGTAAATACATAATGAAGCACGAGTAAAAAAAAGGCGACACCAAGTGAGCAAAGGTCGCAAAGTGGAAGCTGCAACTTCAGAGAAGGGCTTAAAAAAGGCAGCAAGAAAAATACAAAAATTAAAAAAAAACAACATATTTATATGTATATAAAATGTAACAACACAAAAACTAAAAACAATATCAAGGCGAGGCAGTTGGTTTTCCTCATTTCAGCTGCGCGACCCAGCTGAAAATCTTGGCATGCCAACGGCATCGACTTTGGCATGGCAATCAAACAGGTGCTTGGCCCATTGTGTTGACGAGCTCTTTAGAATACTCGTTGCGGGTATTCATGTGTTATAGGGCATTGTTCAATCTTTAAGTGTATTTGGCTTACGATATTATTTTATTATTATTATTATTATAAAAATTATGATGTACTTGTGGCCCTTTGCGGCTGCACATGTGGGTCCCAATTTATGGCAGTTGGGTGCTGCCGACTGCTTATACCTGTTGGTGGCAGCTACTGCTGGTGTTACTGCCACTGCGATTTCAATTATTTTTCCTACATTGTTGACTTTGCTCGCAACGCACGCAAATTGAAAGTGACGAAGAAAAAAAAAACACATATTATAAGTTCGAAACGACTGGCACATACCCTCGACTCAAACTTTGAGCTGAGCTTCTGGCTTGTTAACAAATGCTTTTCCATAAAGCATTTGATTCAAAGAAAATGTTTGGGGTTCTGTTCACGGCACAAGCAACTCTCTGGCTTTAGGTTCAGTTTGTGAGCCTGGTTCTGTAAATTTTTACTCTCATGCTTTTGGTAGATATACGTCGCATATATTTTCAAATATTTAGAAGCTATTGATGGGTAGATAAATGGCGCCAAAGTTCCTTGGACTTAAAGGTTTATGTTTATAAGCCAACTTTTTCCTTTTTTTTTTTTGCTCAAAGCCAACTATTTTCTTTTGTTTAAATGCAGCTTGATCTCAACATATTCGATTTGTCAGCGTTAGCTGCAGACGCCTCGAGCCTGACTATTAAAACTGATTAACACATTTATTCGAGCTGAGTGTTGAGTATTGAATGCTGAAGTTTTGTTCCATTCATTGTAAATCGTGTGCCACCTTCAGGCGTTCGCTTCATTTGTCAATCAACAGCGGCAATAACAACAAGCAGTCGGGTTGACTCTTGAATCCTTAAGAACGTGCGCCAATGCCGAGCAAAAGTGCAGAAGTCCCCTGCTTCAGCCCTTACAATTTGCTTTCCCCTTTGCGCTTTAACGCGTATTTATTTCATTTCATTTATTTCTACTATCGCGGGTGTGGCTGCCAAGCCGGAAACTTAACTTGTGGTTGTTGTTGCTGTTGCAGTTGTTGTTGCTGTTGTTACTAAAGCAGCACTTGAGCACAAATCCCATTGTCTATGCCAAGTTGCCAGCTAGTCGAGCGCAGCAGCAGCAGCAGCAAAACTTGGCAGCGTTCCGTTTGTCTCAGTGCAGCGGCCGCACATGATGCACACTAGCCCAGCACCAGTCCCTCGCAGCCCCTCGCTGCCCTTCGCTGCCCGGCCCCTATCACACCCTCTGGCTCTATCGTGGTTCCAGAAGTGCGTATCCTTGGCTGGCGCCCACTTAAGTATGCTAAGATTTCCGTTGCGCTGGCGTTGCGCTGCTTTATTGTACTAACAGCAACAGCAGCAACAATAATAACAAATAAATATAAATAATGAAATACAAAGTCATTTCTCGCTGACAATGATAACTCTGTCGCTGTGTGCGTGCAAGCGCGCATGTGTGTGCCTGTGAGTGTGCACGTGTGCGTGTGTAAGTGTGTATGTGTATGGGGGGCATGACAGCTGAGATGTGTATGCTTATAAGCATCAACTGCTACTGCTTCTGCTTATTAACTACACAATGTAAGCAAAAACACTCAACGACACTCAAAGGAAAGTGGAAAACTGTAACCAAATCAGTCACAATAGTCAGCAATAGAAAGCAGACCGATTCGTGGTGCGAAATGTGGCTCCATCATTGACAGATGTCAACGAAAATCTGACTTGTGAGTCTTTAGGGGAATTCGTTGGAAATCTCAAAGATTACGCGACTGGGAATTGCTCTCTAAGCAAGGCTAGGCCGCATATTGCATATTGAGTTGCTTTCACTTATCGCCTTTCTATGCGATTTTCACAAATTCAAGTGATTTAGTTTAGCGGGTGAAAGAGGAACAAAAAAAAAGCTTTGATAACGGGGAGTATTGAGGGGAAAAGTGAGCAAGACTGAAAGATATTCAGTCTCTATAGTCACTACAGTAAAATACTTTTGCTGTGATTCCAACATATATGCTTGGTGGCTTGGTCTACTGCTCAAACCAATGCCTAAAGGTTAGATTTATTTTTGAACAAGGTAGTTTTAAACTATGGCTATACTCGATCCAAATAATCTTGCTCAAGGCTTGGCTTAAACCCAAATCAAAATCGAAATCATGTTAGTTTAAACGAAAGTAGATGTGCATAGCTAAAATAAATATATATCCTTTTGTCTGTTACATAAATTTGCGCACTCTTATCATGCCCTTGTTGCCCATTTTCAAGGGTGCACACTGTTAGACAATTAACAAGATTTGTGGTAGTATCTTGAGCGAACTAAAACTTACATGTGCTCAATTTTTATGCAATGTTTTCCTAATGTCAGTCACTGAATGCGAAATATACAGAAATACAATTTAATTTTTGTTGTAATCCTAAATTATAGGCAAACCCAAATGCTTTAAACTCATTTGAAATAATTATTTGGAATCTCTTGTCGCCAGCTACGGTAACTAAAGACACAGCCAGGCACTGGTTAGCAATTGTTGTTCATCTCCCTGGGCTCGAGTCCTTCTCTCTCTTTCTCCCTGTATTCATATACACATGCTCGGCACACACACACGCACCCATGCAAATGCTGGGGATGATAGACACTTGGCTTAAATGACAACAGGAATTGCGTAGGTCCTTAGGCTCCGTCATGGACAACCGGCATTTCAGTTGTGGCTCGATGGAAAATCAAAGGCAAAGCCGCAACCAGACGAGTTTAGTTTAGTGAAGTGCCTTCTGCCACGCCCACCACATATACACAGGGGGATATTGTCAGGAAAATGGCAGAACTTAAGGCGAAATACGAAAAACATAACCAAAAATAGGTAAAGAAAAAAAAAACCAACTGAAAACAAGTAAGCGGTTCTAGTCGGGAGCCCCTGACTAGGGGATACCCTGAACCCTGTTCTTCAAACATCAAATGCATATATCTATTCTATTTTAGAAGCTATATGTCAAGTTTGGTGACTCTAGCTCTTATTATTTACCAAAACTGCCCAAAAAACACGATATCGATATCGATATTGATTTTAATCGATTGCTTGGAAACGGGGTAAGTTATCGATTATCGGAAACAAACTCGATCTGCGCTGCCACTAGGAGCCCCTACATCTAAAATTTCTCTAGCTCTTATAGGTTCTGAGATCCTTGCGTTCATACATACGGACGGACGGACGGACGGACAGACAGACGGACATGGCTAGATCGACTCGGCTATTGATGCTGATCAAGAGTATATATACTCTATGGGGTCGGACATACTTCCTTCTGCCTGTTACATACATTTGGATTTTGCACAAATACAATATACCCTTATACTCATTTTAAATGGCTTCAGGGTATAAAAATAAATGAAAGAGTAAGGGCACAAATTGTGCATACCCTGCACGCATTTGGGGCCATCGAAGCCGTTTTGCATTCGACATTCAAATTAACTAATTACTTATGCAAACGTTGCCACGCAGAGGAAACTGGCCACAAACGAGCGGCCGCAGGACAAGCCCAGAAATATGCAATCGGCTTGAGGTTTTTTTTCTCTGTTTGTCGGCAGGGCAAACAATTGCCTATTGATGGATGAACGACATAAATGGCAAAAAAATGAATGGAGCATGCAGCACGATGCACGATTCCGGGAGCAGGTCAACTGCGTGCAATGAATGTTTCACATGCATATATGAAAGCCGAGTCGAATGCCATTCG